CCTAAAGTTTATGTCTTTTGGTTTGTGGTGAACCGACTTCACATTTTCAGTGGCCCCATCTGGACTCTGGAAATGTTTCTGGCGACACCACTGGTTCAGACCAAACAGAGAGGGAGAGCGAGCCCTCTGTGGGTATATGTTAGCGTGTTGCATCCAGACACATCCATGCATGCACGTGTTTGCATTTACTCATCCGTGAATGTGCGCCTGTGTGTGTGTGTGTGTGTGTGTGTGAGATAATGAGCAGCACATCCATTCATTGTAATGCTCCATGCCACATTCTGCTGAGAGGAGGGAAATTAAACAGCCCGTTTCATAGACAAACTGTGAAATAGGATTTGGAGACAGACAGCATGTTTGTCTGCCTGCTGCATTTCTGTTTGTGTGTCAGAGAGAGAAAGAGGAGCAGAGGAAGGAAAACACACTACAGTTTAGTTTAAAGAGTAGGTGTTGGGGGGTTAAGATGGAGAGATTCAGAGATGGGTAGTTAAAAAACAGATTCACAGCGATTCAAACTGACAGGGGAGTAAATGTGAAGACGGAACGAACGGGAAGTAAATTGCAAAATGTAAAAAATAAATAAGTGAAACAAAGACGTCTTCTTGAAAAATATTCCTGGACTGTTGAGGCTGTGAGGTTCGATGTCACCATAGCAACCAACCCTTGGCCAAAGCAGAGGATTGTGGGAAGGTTTTGGTTGCCTCTCAGTTGGATGTGGATGAGAACAAATCTGTTCTTCCAGTGTTTCTGTTTATCTTCTCATACTTTTTGTCTGTCTTCAGTTACCTTACACATCACACATGCGTAATACACAGTGATGTCAGCACAGCGCAGATTTCTGTAATAATGATAATAAAGCAGTGGGCAGCAACGCATACATGTTAATCTGTTTTACTGTCTTGTATAAAATATTGGCCTATGTGTGAGATTTAGAAAGCAAGAGACATGCAGCACCGTGTTGTTGTTTCAGAATTGCACAGACTGTAAATGAAAGATGCACATAACCACCATGATGTTGGTTTGTTAAAGCATTGAGTATTTTGGTCATTGTCATATTAGCTTTGTCAAGGACATCATAAGCGAGATGGATGTGACCACGATTCCGAGGGTCACCGGATGCTCATAATGTAGTTGTTAATCACACCGCATGGAGTTAGACCTGCCCAAGAAAATGTTACTTTATCCTTTTTGACTAAAACAAACATCATACTTTAACCAGAAAGACTTGAAACTAACATTTGTTACCATAAAATCCTCAGAAAAGTTAGTACTGAGGTCGTGAAGTATGGGAATTGTCTTTTCCCAAAGACTTTTGCAATTACATGTCCCCCTGCTGACCGTTAGAAAGAATTCAAATTGAACTTACTCCCATATTAATGTTGTTATTTTTTTGTCTATCTTTTATATACAGTTTATTTCAATTGTCCAATACGTTCAATAAGATCTCAGTCTTGTAGCATGCTAAAACAATATGTGTGTGTAGGCTACGGCATCAGGATTGAATTTGGAGGGTGTAGCTGCTGGTGCTGGCTAGCTTGGTTAGCGAGGGGTGTAATTCAGGGTGAAATTACATGAATACCAAGTTTGCTAAGTGAATAACAGGCTTAAAATTGTGCTTGTGGGAGTTTCTGTAGGAAAAAATGAACCCCAACTAGAGTTATAGAAAAAAATTCAACCCCTGCACAATTATCATCGGGGGTGGCTTTAAAAACCCAAACGCTTTTCTACTACAATATTAACATTTTTTTTCTGCTGCTGCACAGTTACCGAAGTCTAAAGATGGATACAAGAAGAGACGAGTAGCAGTGTGGCAAACAGAGAGATTGGTAATGAGTAAAGAAAATCAACACCTATTTATGCAAGATAATTCATAATTTTATTGGGTGGGTTATTTTGGTTTGATCTGATTATTTGGGGGGTCATAACCCCCCTAACCCCCTGGAAATTACGCCCCTGAAACGATCTATTTCACCAATATTCAGGGCACAGTATTGAGTTTTGCACACACAAACATATGCACACTCGCACATCAGTGCTCGATACTTATATTAAGAGCTGGATGTGTGCTTTGTGAGTTTACGTATGTTTCTAAACTGCACTTTTCTACTGACAGGTAGAATCAGGGCCTTTTATCTGCTCCTGCAAAGTCAAACTGTTGATCTTTCTGCCATCCCTCTCCATCTGACTCAGTCTGACTCCCCCTCTTTCTTTGATTACCTCTCTATATCTCTGCGTCCATCCTCCCTCACTCCCCTGTTCACATCCACTCCTCACTCTTCATTACCAGCATACTCGAAATAGAAGGACTGAGGCAACAGCCCAAAGAACAAAAGGGAGGGAAGGAGGAAGAAGAGAATGATTTTTATTTTTTAAGCATGGACAAAAGGATTAGATCTGGAGCTCTTTGCCCTGAAGAGCGCAAACAGAGATGGAGTGGAGCCAAACAAAGAAGAAAAACAGCAAATGCAGCATGTAGGAAATCAGATGGGCATTGAGGAAAAATATAGGAAACAAGACACATTAGGAGGGAGACAAAGTGAGAAATAGTTGCGAAGATTGCATAATTAGAATTGCATGTGTGTAACTGGAGTCAGTGTTAATTTGGGTTTTGATCTGAGCGTATTCATCTGGATTGGATGCACGTGTGTCTGCACTGATGGATGCGAGGAGACAATACAGTGGATTTTTTATTGTCATGCATTGTCTGGTTTTGTTTTTAAAGTGAAATCTAATTTAAAGTAAATCCATAACACAAAACATCTTTTTATGATTTAGCCAGAAAAACAGGATTTCTTGCACAAACTTTCTGCAATTTCACTCCTAATTTCTTGTTATAACTTCACAGGACTCTAGCTGAGATCCATTTTCAGTAAACCAGCAGCTCCTTTGTGGACTTTTTTCTTCTTCACATTACAGTGTAACAAAGCAAGTGTGACCCACTGTGATAAACTACAGAAACCATTTGACTGCTCTTTGGAAAATTTCCAGTTTGATGGTTGGCTCTGTGTGCCCCCATCCCAAAGTACCCCCACACTGTTCCCAGCATTTCCTGCAGTGACTTTCACGAGAGCTTGCAGCCATCAGCGTATGAATGGGTAATTTGAGAGCCAAATCATAATGTGCTTCAGATAATAGCCACGAATAAATGGAGTCCAGAATAAAAAGGGGTCCAAATTCTGACACAGTTTGGAGTCAAAAACGACCTTTTATATAAATTTTGCTTTCAATCGTTCTCCTTTCAAGGGGTCAACAGCAGTCGTGCCCTAGATATGTTGGATTTTTTGACTGACAGCGACACTGTTGTGGCTGAAAAATGTTTTGGATTGTGAATGTGCATCTGAGTGTGGTTATCATGGCAACACATGGTCCTGGAGATGCTTATAGGACCTGGAGCTACTACTAAAGGTGCTGTACTGCTTTGTGAGGTGTTAATATGTTTGTGGACAGATTTTAAGGAAGTTTGGGTTTTTTTGTTTTTTTTTTTTTATTTTTACTTCAGTTTCTATAAGCGCCAGACATTTTGAGTTGTTGAATTTAATGTGAAGGTTTGGGTATAAAGTTTTATGTGGTGTGACCTCAGATTACTGAATAAAGTCACCAGGTATCAGGAGCAAAAGGATAGAGCAGGCTGATATAGGTCTTGTCTTGATACTAATATTTGATATTCAGTGCTGATGAAGTCCTGGGAGTGAGAAACACAAAACTGTTTTGTTAGCTTTATCTTTCCCCCTGGGATCAATAAAATGTTCTAAATATCAGACTGCTTGGTTATCAGCCTGCCATTAAATACATTGGCTTTGTTTTACTAAAAGCCCTTTTGTTTATTGCCATTTTTAATGTATTAGTACCTCCTAATGACATAGCTGGTTTTCTTTCCACTGTGTAAGTCTGTGTGGGTGCGTGTTTGTGTGTAATCATGGCAAAATGTGGTCTGAGAGACACCTGCTCTAACAGGTGCCACTCTGTCGTGGCTGAAATTGTTTTCACCTTGTGTGTGTGTGTGTGTGTGTGTGTGTGTGTGTGTGTGTGTGTGTGTGTGTGTGTGTGTGTGTGTGTGTGTGTGTGGTGTTATCATGGCAACATATGGTCCTGGAGACACTTGTTACTACCACTACCAGGTAGTTTTGAGTACTTTGGCTTGTGTTTATGTGTCTGTCTGTGGATTTTGTCAAGACTATAGTCACAGTCCAGCATGACACAGTCAAGAGACTTTAGGGTTGCAGACAACACTTAAGTAAAGACAGACTGTGGAGACAAATGCCATCCCAGGATTACTGGTGTTGTCGCAGTGGGATCACATGCTACATGGTGTCTTGATTATTGTCTTGTGTTGGTTCTGTAGTTTGTGTTCTTGGTCTTTGAGGCTTTTGATATTTGAGTTTCTCACTTCTGCTTTGATCTTTATCACTTCTGTGGAGTTTTGGTACATGTGTACTGATGGTGTGGGTTCCCATTTTAATTTGAATTTGTTTTTCATTCCCTCAGTGTCCTGCCCGATTCTTTGGTCATGCCTCAGCCCCTTTGTGTTTTCTTGTTTTCTTTCCTTCGGTTGTTTCCAGTTTTACTTTGTTTCCTGCCTCAGGTTTGCTTCCTGTCTGTATTCTCCAAGTCTAGATTGTTTTCACCTGTTTCCCTTCAGTTATCAGTTACTTGTTTATAAATAGTCCTACCCACCCTGAAGCTCTTATCAGATCTTCTCCTGTTCATCTCTCCTGTGTCTGTTGTGAGTTTATTTGCCCTTAATTATTTTCAAAGTTACCTTTACTCTTTGGGTTATTTTCCTGGAGTTGCCTTCTCAGGGACTTTCAGTGCTTTGAATTAAACTTGTCTTTTGGTCCATCCAAAATTGATTATGAGACACACACAATGGTAACTTATCATTTCTTTCCAGTAATTTAAGTATCCCTTAAAGTATTTTTTAATGACTCAAAAGTCTTGTATCAGAATACCAGTATTTTAAAACTTTATGCACTCACAGTTCTGTGCAGACACTGGCTCAATACTCAAGACTCCACAAATGAGTGAATGAACCCGATAACCAACTTATAACTGAAACCATACGTTTTCTCAAAAGTTGAAAGTGCTTTTCTTGGCTAAATCTAAACGTTCAACGCACACTTTATTACGTACACCCAGTACTGGGTTGGACCTCATTTTAGACTTCAGAACTGCCTTAATTCTTTGTGATATCAACAAAGTGCTGGAAACATTCTTCACAGATTTTGGTCCATATTGACATGATAGCATCACACAGTTGCTGCAGATTTTCTTTGGCTTCCTAAACCCTACAGACGGTTGTGTGGGAAAATCCCAGCACTTTCTGAAATACTCAGATCAGCCTGTCTCAGACAACCGGCCATATTCAGACTCACTTAAATCACCTTTCTTTTTCATTCTGATTCTCAGTATGTCATTTTGACCGATACCCAGTGCACTGAAGTGCTGCCAGGTGATTAATATAGTGGCAGTCAAGTTTAGATGGGACTCAAGCTATGAAACCCAGCCTTTGCACCGTTGTAGCAGATAAAGATAAACATTTCCTCTGAACATAATCCAGCCAGCAATAAATCGGGGGAAAAATGTAGATCGAGTTTAACTAAACCTTTCTCTCATATTTCATCATGTCGCTTTAACTCTCAGCGATCTGACCCATCTTCAGAAACATGTAAGAGCAACAAGCCCATAAGAATCACACCTCCTGCTATCTCACCGTGTTGCTCCATTTTGGGGGAACCAACATTGTACATCTGGAGCCTAAATATGCCATCGGTGTAGTTTCACCTAATTGAAAAAGTTTAAATCCCGAGTAATATAAGGCTGGAGTTTCCTAAGTGGTGCTCGTTCGCAGCTGCAGATGGTGCAGCCAATTTCAATGCGTGAAAAATCAATTGTACTCAAGTTATGTTCATTCTGTTATTTGCCGTTTCTGTATTTGCATGTGTCCTTGCTTATATTTACTTGTTTGTGTATTCTCGGTCTGTCTCTTTAATTTTTATTTGGGGCCCAGCCCGTGGCAGCTGTTCTCACACTCCTTATAACGGCAGGAAAAAAGAGGGATTAGAAAAAGAGAGAGCGATCGGATGAAGAAAATAGGGTTGTGGCAGGTGAGAGGAGGAAGAGACAAAGATAGAGAGAGATGAGGGGAGTAACCTGATGGAAAGGAGGGGGTTAGATGAAGGGAAAACAAGGAAATGAGAGAGATGCAAGAAGCTGGAGGGGGGGGGGGGAATAGAATGTGGAAAGGGGAGGCGAGGAGAAGATGAGGCAGCAGAAAAGATGGAGACAGAAAGATGGGAAGGGTGAGGAGAAGCACTCTCCGTCATTCTCCCTCTGAGACATGAAAGAGTCCACACGTGTACCCTCCTTCCTCAGCCCCCCCTCCTCTCTCTTCTTCAGATGTCTGGGAGTACATGTGTGTGTGCTTTTCTTTGACATACCAGCACCCTGTCAGCCTCATTCTTAACTTTTACTTTAGGGTCCTGGTTTCAGCATAAGACAGCCTTCAACTTTATATAATATACCATCAATTGATCACGAATGTCTCCTTCACTGTTAGTAGTGGATTAAGATACCCTTTTAAATAAATTTTAGCTTTTATTTTTTAATGAGATCTCTACACTCATTTTCAACATTGATCGCTCTTATGTTCCATGTTCTGTTGGTCGTTTCAGCAAAGCTCAAGGTTGTTGACATTTGGCTAGTTGAGTGTCTGGAGCAATATTTGTTTTCTAAACCATTAATCCTATTCTGTGCCATTTACAATTGGAAATTACCAAAAGACTAAAGAGTCCACACAACAGTACGCATTATTCAGCTTGTTTGCAGTGCTTCCCCTGCTAGACTGGTGTAGCACTGCATGCCATCTATGTGCAGAGAGCTCTGTTGTTGATGGAGACGGTGTACAAAGAATGTGGTCTTGATCTTTGAAGGGTTTTCTTTGTTTCACACCTCTCCTGTTCCTGGAATATTGCACTTGGCAGATGCCTATGTCATCCACTTCCAGAGACACACAGTTGGGATTTTGGAGGTCTGGACTAGAGCACGACTGCAGTGGGTAAACACCCCTCAACTGGCTCAAGTGTGCACATACTTGGGACCTTAAACTACACTTTACTCCCTTTATAAACCACCACCAGCCTATGGAAACTGCACTTGTGGTTAAATACCTGGGACTCCTGATCTGAAGGAAAATGAAGAAGCCTTCTGTGTGAGTTCGAGTTGCCTTTAACTCAGGTCAACTATGACCTGGATGACAAGGACCCAATAATATAGCAGTACACAGACACTCTGATGTACTTACCCTCTTTTTCACTCAGCAGCAGGGCCTGTACCTTGTCTTTCTACATTGGCCAGATGTGGTTTGTGTTGTACTGTAAATGGAGTTTTACACACATCTTTATGTTGTGGTAGTTTCTCAAAAAAGTTTTAATTTCTAGCATGCTCCAACAAAACTTTGAAGAGATTTTAAAGAATTGTTATTTTTGAAGAGAGTCTATTAAAATATGCTCAAGAAAATCTACCATCCACGTTTCTATTGATACATATTTTTTAAGTTTATTGTTATAGCAGGTATCTTTCTACAGAGGTTAGTACAGAACAATTAATAAAACACGCAGTAATAAATATAACATCAAATTACTTGGGGAAATGCAATTGATGGCAAATACTGCACATTTGTGTTGCGTCTTAAAAATGATTTTTGACCACTCAACTCCATATTGACGTTTAAAGCTGCAGATTACAAATTTGATGGCAGTGCACTCCCAGCTGTTTTGGGTGTTTTGAAGATCCCAGCGTTTTGTTTGAAGACGATGTGATCTCCGCCTCAAAAACAATCTTCCAAGCTCTGCTACATATGGCTGGCACTCTTGTTGTTGTCTTTGTGAGGTTGCCAGGCAGAGATTCCAGAAAGTTCCTGCTCTGGGCCAAGAAACAGTCTGGCACACAGCCCCCTGATATAACTGACTGTAAAGCTACAAGTGGTCGTGTTTACATTTTGTACAGATTATATGAAGCAGATGTAACGTGTCCGTTATGGGCTGGACTAACCTAGTGATCGATAGCATCATAGACTGAAGACGTGGCACTAGTCTAGAAAACTGTATCCTCTTAGTTAAGGCGTCTTGTTAACATGCGTCTGCATTTCTTTTTCTTTATTTATATGCAGCCGTTACATTCTTGTTTTTCTCTCTCCATCTCTCCTTTGTCTTCCTGTAATGACAGACCTCCTGGTATTCACGTGGCAAACAAACAATCTTCCACTCCCCTCTTCTCTCCCAGGTACAGCTGGTGTTCAGAGCTGCATCCATGAGGGATAAAATGAGTTTTGGAGAGGATGTGGCTTTAAATAATATACCTCTGCAGAGTTGTCAAGCAGGAAATTTCTTTTTATCAAATATATTACACTAATTTAATTTGTTTTAATCTGATTCAAGAGTGTTTGATTGGATTCATCATTTCCTTAATTTGTCTTTCACTTCCAGTTTTCCCCCTATGTAACAGTGTCACATGTGGAGCTGAATCAAAGCTTTTTAATTGGACAATAAAAGTGTTTCTTAGTCATTTTAGCAGTAGGCTTTTTACCCAAATATTAAAAGGTAGATAACAGCCAGTTTAAGAGGTTTTTACTTTGTTCTCCTACAGGTTCCTTCTCTGATGATGGACAGCCAGTTTTCAGAGTTCACCCCAGATATAACTCCCATCATGCTTGCTGCTCATACAAACAACTATGAGATTATCAAGCTGCTTGTCCAGCGGAAGGTAATGGTTGTTTTACGCACAAGTTATCAACATAATGAGTAGTAAGCTCTTTTTTTGTCTGTCTTGATGGTCAATGAATAAAGCGAGATCTTTATTTTATCAGTGATTTGTTGTTTGATGTTTTTGCTCTGTCTAGGTCACCATACCCAGACCACATCAGATACGATGCGACTGTGTTGAGTGTGTATCCAGCTCAGAGGTAAGGGATTTTCGTTCTTTAGTGCTGCATCTTTTGCATTGCTTGCATTGTGTTTGGTTTGCTAAACATTTATATTTGAATATATTGAAATTGCTTTTACAAACTTTAACTTCCAGCATGAACCCTAGATTAGACATCAGAAATTTCCAACATCATTTCAACTTTTTGAACTCGCCCACATTTAATTTTCTTACTTTATACTTTGCAACAATATGAAAGATGAATGAGCATGCTTTAGTGATATAACCAGGCTCTGAGCCTTACATTTGAAGACTTAAACATTTTTATGAAGGTCATGGTACAAAACTGCTTTATAGTAAATTCTTGAAATCTTGTTTAATCATTTCAGGCCTGAGAGCAGCAAATAGGTTTAGTAAATTTCCCTCAGATCCAATGTAAAAATAGACTTGTCTTCTATTTATGCTTTCCATACAAGGCACCACCAACTCTATTACACAGGAATACTGTAGATCTCAGCTTTGTTAAATAAATTGAAAAGGTGCAGTCTGCAACTTTAAACCGAATTTACCCCAGCTCCACCATAATGATGATGATAATGATAAAAATAATGTCCGTTAAGCTGCTTTGCTGCACTTATTTTTTTGAGTCTTGCCCAGGGAATGAAATGAAAAGAACTTTGTTCAAACAGACAATAAGTCATTAAAGCATTAGGCAATATTTCTCTATTAATCTATATTTACAATGAACACTAAACGTTAACAGACTGTTCATAGTCTAGACACACCACACCATAGTCACTCATACAAACTGGTTAAACGAGTGTTATCACACTGCTGGTGCAAAATCTGAAGACAAAACTGAAAAACTAAAGTTCACCATCTTGTTCTGTCTGTGATAGATGCTACCCTATGACATAGTTGGCCTGCAGTTAAAACACTTGAACCATGCATGTTGAACATCCACTCTGGGAACAGTTATGTTACATGTGTAACATAACTGTTAGATGGCCAGTGTGTTAGTTTTTGTTATACCGATTGAAACTGTTTCTCGATGTTAACGGTGCCTTCTGCAAGTCTCGTAGTTAATGTAAATCTTAAAGGAGGGGTAAAAACCTTTCCTGATTCTTTGTAGGTCGACAGCCTTCGACACTCACGGTCTAGACTCAACATCTACAAGGCTTTGGCCTCGCCATCTCTCATTGCGTTGTCCAGTGAAGATCCCATCCTCACTGCCTTCAGACTGGGCTGGGAACTCAAAGAACTCAGCAAGGTATGGATGTTGATGTCATGTTTGTTGACCAAAAGAAGAAACTTAACAAAACTCCTTCTCTTCATACATAGCCCATTACTTTTCTAAACAGCCAAGGTACAGATGTACTGGAGGAAAGCAACCTCCTAAAACTTGATGGGATGTTAAATTAACTGTGGAAGGAGTAGCATTCAGCATCATCTTCCTCTTACTCATTTGCCTCAAGTATTTCTTTCACTTATGCTGTCAAGAGTGACTAGTCTCCCCCTGCCTCACATTTTTTCTAGTATTTATCGTCTCAAAAGTAACAGCAAAAAGACTCTCACCATACCTTACTATAATCCCTGCAGTCTTTTCTCGGGTAACAAGAACAGACACACTTCTTCTCCAATACTGAGTCTCTATGATGCAGACTTCAGAATAGTTTATGTCAAATAATACTTTCATTTTTGGGGTCCACAAGGAGATTGTGATGCTGTTAAGCTATTCCAACACCAGATGGAAATCTAAAACTGAGGAAATCAAAGAGCCATCAACATGTTTCCCATTAATCCTACAGCTTTAATCTTACTCCACCCTTATTTCAGGTGGAGAATGAGTTTCGTCAGGAGTATGAGGAACTGTCTCAGCAGTGCAAGCGTTTCGCCAAGGACCTCCTGGATCAGGCCAGGAGTTCTAGAGAACTTGAGACCATCCTGAACCACAGAGACAACGACCAGAGTGAGGAACTAGACCCTAGACAGTGCCATGATCTGGCCAAGCTCAAACTCGCCATCAAGTACCACCAAAAAGAGGTAGGGACTCGGCTTGGATAGGAACTCCTATTAAAGAATCTTTCAGACCACTCCTCATCAAATCACTCTGTTTCTTATGAATAAAACAGTCTGTGTGAATGTCCAAGATGCTTTATATATGACCATCACAGTCAAGGTAGCATGTCTTTTTCATATTTGCTATACTTTTACCCAATGTGAGCAGAGTGACCATCAGCTGGCTGAATAAGCACTTTGGTCCTAAAGTTAAACATAACATTACAACCCAACGGTAAAGTCAAAGATTTGCTTTGTGAATAATGAAGTAAAGGTGTCTGGAGCCACAAATGAAGTTCAACTCCCTTATAAAGTTTACCCTGTCCGGCCACACATTCATGTTGATATATGTGAGCTCCTGCCTTGGAAGCTGTTGGCTATTTCGGCTGTTACAGGGAGACAAAAAAGAGTGATTACAAACAGTGCAGGCTTTGCTCTGCTTTCTACAGGGAGTGCAGAATTATTAGGCAAGTTGTATTTTTGAGGAATAATTTTATTATTGAACAACAACCATGTTCTCAATGAACCCAAAAA